CACGATGAAGGACCCTAGCATAAGCTGTAAGTTAAACCGTTAAAATTGGTTTACACAGACATGGTGGGTGGTATGATGAGATCCTAACAAGAGAGCAGGGAGTAAGAAAAGGTAGTACGGTGTGGAGTGTGCCAGTGACAGGAACCATTGTTGTCAGATAGTTTTTATCCCCGCCGTCGTTGCTCCAGTCCGGCCACCTTATCTGCATTGCTATCGGTCTTCTGTTCTGTTTGGTTGTTCCTCTGCCACTTTGCCAACAAACAAGAAGTTGGCCAAGTACTCGAGCATCATCCAAGTACAGTGGTAATCCGAGCTGCAGACACTCAAGTTTACTGCTCAAATAAGTTGGTTGGAGGGAGGCAAGTGAAATGGATATTCAAAGGAATATCATCATGTAGACATGAGATGATTGCGATACAAATTCATAAAAAGAGTGTGTACACAAAATTATGTTATGTATACGCACCGTGAGCCAGCAGTAAATGAAGCTTCTTTGGCTTAATTCTTAAAGCAACTTAAATCCGATCTAAATCCTCTGAAAAAAAGAAATCATTTCAAATAGCAAGAAGTATTCTCTTTTTCGGCATTCCTAGCCAATACCTACTTTATGTGGCCTTCAACGAAGAGCTGTAGGTATTCGGTAGTTGTTTATCCTGCTGGCCCAGAGTCAAGAGCCAACCAGGCATCCTTACCATCATTTCCTTACTCCTTTGCTGTCACTTAACCGCACGCGCCTATAAGCAGGCAATACATTTTAACGGTAATGGAGAACGGGAACGAAACGGGAGGAAAAGAAAGGAGAGCAGGTGGCAGGTGGGCACAGGCATGGGAGTGGGCATGCTGGCTTACTCATCACTTATGGCCATTATGTGATTGTCGCTGCATGGCAGGCGGCGCAAAGAAATGTATGTAAATCCATCCACATTCCCTTTGCAATTCCGAAATGTGTAATGACCATGATGATCTGGATGATGATGTTGGATGTTGATGAGGACAACGTACCTGCCTGCCCTAATTTGCATATGTGGGCGACAGAGTGCATCTGTGCAGCCCACACAATGTGTGTTACTTTATGTATTTAGTATATATATGCAGTCATAAGTGGTGCTAAATGCATTCCAAATAGGAAAGCGTTTTGTTCCTTAAAAAGGAATAAATAGGAATTTGCAGATTTTCTATGCCTTTTCCCTTCTTAAACCAAATATAGGTAGAACCTTAGAAATGAGACCCCAACTTGCCACAGTCTTCTTTTGAATGCTCTTCTCGCTGCAAAACCTTGCAGCAGGGCCACCACCTATTCCCATTGTTGACTGTCGGACGCAATTTGCAATGGTGGCAGAGAGTCCTTGATGGTTCAATTTGCAGTCCGGCAGCCACCCTCGCTGCTGAAATCAATGTGTGGCCATGTAGCCATGTGGGTGTGTCCTGCTACGCCCCTGATTGAGTTACATGCAGCATTACCCATGGAGCCGCCCCCATAGTCCGAACGGCTGGTCAGGATTCGTGCAGAGGATTTGCGTAAGCGAACCACATAAATAGTGATGGAATCCCAATGCCGCCACCTGCAGTATATAGTCAAACGACACCCAGTCAACCCACACTCACCCACTCACTCACAGACCCACTCCCTCAGCCAACCATTCAACCCACATTGTCCACCTGAAAGGTCGGAGATGGGTGGAGAAGACCACAAATCCCCAGCATGCGCCGAGTTCGGAGGTGAGCGGCACAGTGGGTTATGGGTTACAGCACGTGTCCTGTGCCGGCAGCTTTGCCAACATCTCTCGCCCAGGCAATTTGCTCCTGCGGTTTGTCCTAATGCCATGGCCCTCTGCCTGCCTGTGTCTGCCTGTCTGCCTGGCTGGTTGCTCCTCCATTTGCTGTCTCGTTTCGCTGATGGATGACCATCAAAATTCCCACCATTATCGTCCGCTCAGCCTTTTGTGCACCCTTTGTTCTTGCTGCTCGATTGCCCGCCTGAAGTTGACCGATTAACTTCCCTCGGCGACACAAAAGCCATGCTCTGTTTTTCCAGCTTTTCATCTGGCTTTTGTTTGCAATTCCATAAACAAATTTTAGTTAAAATTAGAAGCAGCGTGGGGCAGGGTTTTCCCGGGATTTTGGTTCAAGGCTTAACTTTCCCTCTTCCTAGGAATTTTTCCATTGGAACTGTGCATCCCTGAAACTGGGAATTGCTGTATTTAAGAAATTTTTTCTTAACTAAAACACTTCTCTGACTCGGGAACCAACTTTAAGAAATCAAAATTCAACTCTGGTTCGTATCTTTCCGGTTCTGTTAGTTCACTTTCCCTTTCACTTTCACTCAAATCATAAATGTTAAATTTTGTCAAGGGCTGAGCTCCTTCCCCAAGGAGCTGGGCAAACAGTTTCGTTCAACTTCACTGCGCTTCAATCTCCAATCGCTGGATGTCTCCCTGGGAGACGAACTAATTTGCATACTTTTCCAGGCCTTTGTTTTATAAGGGGGCGGCTTCTTACAGAGGTGATAGTAGTGGTAAGATTGGCTTGGTGGGGTTGGTAGGAGCTGTCCCTCAATTAAACTGTCATGTCAAAGTCAGTCGCGTCAGTGGCGGCGGCATTGAAGATTGTCGATGCCCATCGGGGTTATCGGGAGGATCTCTCTGGTTGAGAGTGTTCAGCTTCCATCTTGCCTCTCGCTGTGTTAGCTTTTACGGCCCATTCTGGCCCCGGCATGTCACTCGGATTTTAAGTGCCAGCCTCGGTTGTTAGTTAGCCCCCTATGCCAACCCCTATATCCCCCTGTTTGTCTCTAGTTCAATTCAATTTACTGCCTGGCTGTTGCTATTTTAGGCCTAGTCTCCAAATGGCTGGCACAGCAGCTCAGCCATTGCCTTTTGACATTTCAAATTGATTCTCAGCGATTTATGTATATCATTTCCACCCACACAAAGAAAACGCCACACATCCTATCGCGTTGGCATGTTGGGTGGATGTGTCCTCCGGTTTTGTTGGCCATGCAAATAGCAGCAAATTATCCTGCTTTTGTGGTATTTTTTACGAGTGCATGCTGTGGATGTAACCGCACCAGAGCTGCCTTTGAGCGGATAAACATTTATAATTGGGTGATGCTATAGCCTTGATGATAAGCTTAAAGGTATTGGAATAATTATTATAAATAATTATGTCCATTTCCTCAAAAATTCCTCAATTCACAAAACATCCTACAGATTTTCAGTTCTCCCACCTAATTGACTTTTAATGCAAGTTTCCACCGCAAGGACCTATAAACCAGGAAACTTCCCTAATGAGGCTTAGCAGTAAAAGTAAACTTAAATGCAAATCCACTCTGGTCGTATATTCTACGAAACTGGAATGAGGTTTTTGGCTAACCACATGCTCGAACTTACAACCAAAACTTGTCAGCAGTTATGAAAGAGAGCCTGGGCCATAAAATAAGCGAATACTTAACCCAGTTACTTGGAGTCAAGGTCGTGTTAAATCCAACCACCAACTCGGCTCAGAGATGAGTGGAAATTAAATCACCTGTCCTACAACTGGGAGACAAACTCTGAAATCCTCTGCTCAGACTGGCTAGGCAATATTGATAAATGATTGACTTTAATGCCTTTCTATATCTGACCTTTCCTCTTCACAATGAGAGATCAATTTGGCTGGCGGAGATGCCGTGGGAGGATGGCAACTATTTTTAAACATTTGTGTGGGTCAGGCCAAAAAGCAAATATAAAAGCAGAGAGAGGAGATGGAAAAAACGGCGGGCCAATGCAGTGACGCAAATTACTTGATTTTCACACTGAGAAAATGAATAGGAAAAGCCAAAAAAACGAATTTAAAATTTTTACCATAAATTTCTCAGGTTTGGAAACTAAAAAGAGGTTCCGTTTGAGTAGATAACTTCGGTATTGAAACTGTTTTAATTTGGAAAACTTTCAAATCGATGACCATTTTGCTTGCAGTTTTTTCTCTTTATGGCGTGGGATGTTTGCTGGCTAGTCAGTGGGTGGCGGCAGGATATCGCGACTCTAGCTGATGTCATCAGCCAGACGACAAGGACCAGTGGCTTCTGTTTCTCTGACGTTTTTCGTCTTGGTTGCCTAAAGCCAAATTAAATAAATAGAAAATGTTTTTGTTGCTGTTGTTCGGCATCGGTCTAATGAAATTCTAACACGCGCCACACTTGAAGTAGGCGATGAATGTGTGTCCTGGCGATGTGGCTGTGTGTGGGTATAGGTTGTATGGGTATTTGTGAGCAGCTGGTCATAATGAGCCACTTGAGTGGCGCACACGCATGCAAAAAGCATTCGAGGCTAAAGTCGTTCTGTGGTCGGTTGGTCGGTTGGTCGCTCGGTGGTTCCAACATCATCTGACCTTCGACTAGAGACAATGCCAAGGCAGGCTCGGGGAGGTAGAGGGGTAGGTGGATATTGTGGCAAGGCCAGGATTCTGTTTGGCTGGTGGTGTGAATAGGTGGGTGTGGGTACTACTGCCTGTGCGGGTGTGTGGCATGAGCTCAACTTCCTGTTGCTGGACCTCCGCCAACATGCACAGGGGAAATAACTGCTAGATTTCACATTAGTTGCAATCTGGAAATCTGTGGAAAACCCATTCCACTAAACCCTGAGTGCTCAATGAGCGCCTTTGTGGTCAGAGCTTAGAAGTTTTAATGATAATAGAGATGAGGAATCTCTTCAAGTAGAAGTTTAAACTGAGTTCTTAATTCTTGGAAATTGTTTTTAATGGCTGAGTAGCCGCTGTCTAATGATAGTTGAGTTTTTTAAAGAGTTTTCATTTTCTCTGAGTGTACTGCTGATGCCCCACATGGTCTGAGATTTCATATCCGCTCCTCGTTTGTCGCATTGCCATTGCCGTGGACGTGTTCGCTAGACTTTCGCAATGGTGAGATTGCAATTGGAAATCGCGTAGAGGAGAGAGTATTGTAATTTGCCGCAAGCTACAGTTTGACAATCATTTAACACTTTTTCGTATATTTCTCGCTCTAGATAAAAACCAAACGCAGTCGCCCAATGCATATAAATGAGCGCAGGAGCCCGGGAAACACGTAGCCAGCAAGGAAAGGAGAGCCAAAAAGGATACCTCATCCCTTGAAGAGCGGCGGTGGTGGCTCTAATTAAGACAGGCCTGGTCTGGTTTGGTCTGGTCTGGGCCAAAATTAATGGAACCCACGAGCGGCGGAGCGTTTTCGGTGTTCACACAAATTAAATTCCATGAAGTTTATTTGCTGTAAATGAGGCAGTGGCAGAAGGAGTGGAAGTGCTGGCCCTAATTCAATTTCCTCTCGTCCTTAACCCTTCTTTTCTGTGCCCCGTTAGTACGTGTTGCCATGTTGCCATGTTACCATTTACCACTTAGAAGCGAAGGAATAGGCCTACTCCTAAACATTTATACAAAAACACACACACACAGATGCTAAATCAGATTCGTTCGATTTATATTCGTTAGATTTTCCATGTAAATAGTCATTATAATTATTATTGTGGTCTACGTTGATCTCTAGCCTCGGGCAGAGTCAGCGATAAACCTTGAAAAGAAAAGGAAACACAAAAATTGTAAACATAAATCTAATATTTATTACGAAACTTCAAATTTGTGCATCTCGCAAATGCTATGATTACAAAATTAAAAAACAAAACGAGAATGAGACGAAGGAGGAGATAGCAGAGGGCAAATCTATTAATTAGTAATTATTATAATGTGATGTTATATATATAAATCAATCGATAAACAAGAAACCTAAAGCAAATTAAAACGGAAGGAAAAATGAAATATACAAAACTGTTAACCAACGTAACAAATTTCACTAAGTAGATTTTTCGAATTAAATTTAAATTATAATAATTAAAAGTATAGCAAACTTAAAAACAAAATAACTTTGCTGTATACACGAGATAAAACTGCGTTTTTCTACTTAAAAACCAAAAGGAATATGTAAAATGATTTTTCAGATTTAGATTACCCCATATACCCTTAATTAATAATTATACATATATAAATTACAAATTCTATGTAAATGTTGTGCGTATATAAAAGCAAAGGAAAACAAAACAAAGTAGACACCCACACTTCTATATCTTTCAGTTATTTATTATGTGTGTGCTATATCCTCTTCTATATGTATACATTACAAAAAACAAAAACAAAAACAAAAACAAAAAAGAGCGCTTGGCTTCGTCTAGCAAACATTTTGGGCCTTAAAGCAACCTACTCAAGCCGGGGCCTTGGTGTTCTTCTTATTACCCAGCATTCTTCAGATCAATATATATGTATGTATCTATATACCCCCGGGGAGGGGGGCAACCCACACACTACTACTAATGGTTATTCTATATCTAAACGTGAATGTGTTCGTTTCTAAACTTGTAAAAAAGCACGCCTCCCTCTCCGCTCAGACACGAAATGTTTGTAAAATATTGACAGAGGAGGCGAAAACGAAATTAACTTACAAAATATTTATAATATTTCCGGGAGTAAAGGAAGAAAACATTTTAGTTTTTCTACTTGAATCGCATTTCTTCCACTTTTCAAACAAAAAACCAAATCCAATTTAAATGACAAAATTGATACGATGAATTGAATTTTGAGTCCTTTCAATCCTCGAGCTCAAAACGAAACCCTAATAAACAAATTAATAATAATGAAGTTTCTAGGTTCTATTATTTAGTTGTCTTGTTATTTATATGTTTAGCTTTAGTTTTTGTCTAATTTATTTCTAAGTTTTGGCTCCGCAATAAATACAGACAATTATATATATTTTTTCTATAATTTGTTTCATTTTTATTATTTTCGATTCGTGAAAAAGAATGATGAAAAACCAAAAAAAAAAAAAAAAAGAAATGAAAACTAAAAAATTGATAACAAATGAATTGCTAAATTTAAGCGCAAAAGTTCAATTAATAAAAATTAGAATTTTAATATTAACATAATTTGGACTATTTATATATACATACGCATATATATACAACTCTATATATGAATAATTAGTAACAAATCAAATCAATTTCCATAACAACCGCCAGAAAAAAAGCAAAAAAAATATATATATATTCTTAGTGACGAGTGCAAGAACAAACACTCGTGCAATTGTACTTTAAAATTGAATAAAATTCAAAAAAGAAAACGAAAACGAAAAAAAAACCAATGAACAGTGAAGAATGGAAAGGAACAAGTGGAATGGAATGCAACTCTGCTTTGCGCAGCGTTGCCAATGTCAACTTGCAGGCAGCCTTTAGAAGAGTACAGAGCAACCGTCGAAACACAAGCAGACTCCTCACTCACACACAAGGCTTGAGATCTCAATAGAGCGAAAAAGGGATAAATAGATAGCGAGTTGATATGATCATGATTAACGGTGGATGTGTCGTGCATGTTGGGAGAGCAGCAATCGCAACAATAATTCCAGGCATATCGAAGCATTTTTACTCAGCACTCAGACGACAGCAATCAGCGAAATCGGCAACCAAAACTGATGGCAATAACAAGCAAAAGGTAACCAATTCGGGATCAGAGAGCGAAGACAAACAGAGAGCGATACAAACAAACAAACAAACACACACAGACACAGAAACAGAACACACAATCACAATAAAGGACGAACGCGACAAGTAAAAAAGAAAACTTAACGGGATTCACATATGTATATTCAAGAAGCAATAATGAAAGTATATTTCCAAGTATGATAAAAAGAAAAACAACAACCAAGAAAGTCAAGAACTAACATGAATAAATATTTATACATATATTTTAATTATAGTTACAAATTAGCATATATATATAAAAATTATACATACATACAAAAATATATACCGAAGATAGTCCAAATAATTTAGCAAGATGAAATGAAAACCGAAAAGCGAAAAACAAAGTAAACTTTAATATTTACAAAATATTAAAATATCAATGTGCAATTTAACAAGCGTTTAAAACACCACACACTGAAACACACACAGCCACACAAAATTAATGCTACACCTATATATACAAACATATACATATGTAAACCGATTATAAAACATTATATATGCGTATATAAAAAGTCGATACGAAATAACGATCCATTTAAAAATGATAAAAGGCAAGAGACAAGGCGAGCGACAAACTTTAGTGGCGAGGAAAAAAGAAAATACAATTTAGTTTTGTGTGCGCACAGGAACACCACAGTAAACCCTACTTAAAAAGGAAATCAAAATTCAACTAACAAACAACCACACGAAACGAAGCCGTGCTAAATGCTACAAGAAGCGGTTCAAGTCAAGTTTTTGAGCAAATACTCATAATTGTTAAAAATGTTTAAATAATATAATAACAAAAACAAAACACAAAAAAAATAATTAAAACCACAAAATAAAAATCCGTAACAAAAAATAAATTGCATATTATCATATATTTTCTCTCTCCTTAGACAATTTAGTTAATTATGAAAAGTAATGAAAAACAAACATTATACTTAAGTGTTAGTCTTATATATAAATAAATATATGATTAATTAATAAAAACGATAAAAGCAGAAAAAGAAAATCAAGGAACAGCAGCCGACGAATGAGATGTGAAAGAGCACAGTAACAGCAAAACAAAACAAAACCAAAAAAAAAAAACAAAGTGAAAAGAAAATAAAATAAAAAACCAGCAAAGAAACAAAATCGAAATGAGAAAAACAAAACTTAAATTAAGAAATTAGATTTGCCTTTGTGTTAAATATCAAGTGTGTTTCTTATTACCATTATTATTATAATTTTTTCATTTCCAATTGGTCAGACGTGTGAAATGATTTCCTTACATATTGATTGAGAAATAAAAATTATTAAACAAAAAAGCAAGCAATTGTGTTTTTAATCTTACTCCCTAGTTACGGCATGGTTTCCTAGGCTCTATAATTATTTATTCCCATATCATACTCATTATAAATATCATCTACAGGAGGATAGCTTATCAGTATGGAACCGGACTGCCACTGATATGACCAGTACAACACGTATCCGTGATACGTTACGCAGGATATTAAATATACCTCTAACAACGGCAATGGAGTATAAGATACACTGTGATAGCCTTAAATATGTTTCAATGTAAGTATTTATTTAGTTTAGTTTAGTTTTAAACTCGAATATACCAGAAATAGTTTTAGCTCTTAATGGGTTCCAAAAAAATATACAAAAACTTATCTGAATTTTTACGATATAATTTCATAAAATTCCTTAAAGCTTTTAAATTTAAAATTTTTCTCTATTTTTATTCAATTATGATTTATTATTGATTCAATCTTACTAATCTGATAATCTAAACCCTACCTGTACATTACGCAGGCCAAGGCGTCGAAATCGCAAGCTGGGTAATCTGTTTAATCGAAATAGATACGCCTCCTTCAATTCAAGATATGGACGATTATGATTAAAGTTATTAAAGACGAAGAAATAGTTAACGTTTTGGGGAACGGATCGTGACCACTTAATATGACCACTAATTAGAAAATCATATTTCTTCTTTTCAGTAATAAAGGCCCATTGAAAAGCTGAAATTCAGTGAATAACTATAAACAAAAGAAAAACAAAAACAATAATTACACAAACAGATAATATAAGTCGCTAGTGAAGAAATCAACAGTCACACGTTCATCGAAAGCACAGACAAGAGAGTTACACCAACAATAAGCACAAGGAACAACATTGCGGACACATCAGTATCATCAGAGCCCCAGAAAGCAGCCGCCGCATCGACAACGAGGGCAAGGAGTGGCTCTGCCGCTCCACAGATCCCGCAAACATCAAATCCACACAGAAGGGCAAATTAATATTTAAGCGCTAATGAGACAAATCTTTGTATTTTAAACGAGTTTACAAAGTGTGTGTATATATGAAACGCCATAAATATTTTAGTTTGTATGTATAAAGTTTACCTTAGGCATTCCCAATTAAAAAAGAAAATCAAAGTTCCCCCTCAAACTGCCTAAAACTAAAGCCTCCTCCAATCTGGCTAAACCTATATTAGTTGATTTCGTATTAATTTACCGATCCTTATCTTATTCTCCCATAAAACGATTGGACCACCAACACTACCATCTCTCCCGCAAGCGTGCCCTTGTATTTGTAGCCTTATCGATTATCGCCATAGCCGGCAGGCAGCCAACCAACACAGAAGATGATGATTTAATGAAACTGACACACTAACTAGCCGATACTGTATTTATCTGTTTGCAATGATTATTTTAAATTAATGATACAAACCGAAACTGAATAATCAAATTGTTTGTTTTTGTTCTTGAAGAAATACAAAAAGTTTTTTACGTGAAGAAAAAAAAAGAGAAAAACTAAAAATTGAAACTAAAAGCAAAAAACCCTGTTGTTTTACATATATCAAAATCACACACCGCCACATTCATCAACCGAACCATTATTTCATACATCTAAATATTTCCCGAAAACTTTCTCCGGTACAGTACAACCAACGCAAACCCAAATAAAGGAAATTATTAAAGTTGCAGAACATATTTTCAAAACAACTTAGTGATTCCTATGGTTTGTTGGCGTAAGTATTTTTAAATAAGGAAATCAAGTTTTTCGAAGGAATTGCAGCAAAATGGATTATAGTTACAAAATTGTACATCTAGACAATTACTTGATTTATTACTTGGAAATGGAGAACTTTAATCTTAATATCTAATGCTTAAAGTAAATATGAATTATTATTTTATATGTCCTCGAACTCTGTCAAGTCCATTATATAAACATTTGATACGAGGCAGTCACCTTCCTGCAAGTTAGACGTAATTTGTTAGTAATTTTCTAAAACTGAACCTCTAAATTACTTACCCCAGGCGTAATGCCTACTAGCGCATCAGCGTGACCGTAGAACTCTTCCTTCAAGGAGATCACTATAGTTTGCAGGTTGGTCGTGTGATCTCTAATGTATGAAGCGACTTTGCCAATATTGGTGTTGTCCAAAGCGGCGTCGATCTCGTCAAGGACAAAGAACGGCGCTGGTTGAAAACTGAAACAGGAAGTAATAAATATAATGATAAGACTTTTAGGTTTATAAAAAATTATACTTCAAATTACCTGTGCGTGGAGAAGAGCAGTGCCAAGGCTGCAATTGTTTTTTCACCACCACTCAAATTGTTCATGGGTTGGAAACGTTTGCCGGGCGCTACACAATTGTAGTTGATACCATCAAGATACGGTTCCTCCGGATTATCGGGCCCAATGTAGGCCTGGGCTGCCTCGTTACGAGCCAATTTCTTGTATATACCATCGATGGCATCCGAGATGTGCTGGCAGCAAGCAACAAAGCGAGAGGATCGCTCGTTCTTTACCCGTTCGAATGCCGCCTTGGCTTTCTTAGCCTTTTTTCTTGCATTCTCGAACTCCTCATTGGTAGATTGCACCTTTTCCGTAACAGCATCGAGTTTCTGCATGGCCTTCATATTTGGCGTCTGTATTCGCTCCAAAACGTCTAATTTACTTTGCAGATCCTTTTGGAGCGATTCATGGGCCTTTTTGAAGGCGGAGTCATCCTTTAATTTGGTATATTCTCGTGGTAAGGATCCATAATCCACTTCAATACTAAGGATTTAGAGTAATTAATAAAGACCATGAAACAATTATAAACTAACTTACAGATTATCCATTGCTGCTGCTGCTGCCGCAGAGGTCGAGGCAACGTCAGCATCGCTTTGTCGCACTGCGTCGTCCAGCGAGCCGCGCAACAAAGGCACCACTATGCAATCGGTCTATAACGGAAATACATTTTTAATAATCAAATTTATAACTTAATAGTGGCCACTTACTTTCGCTTGCAACAGTATGTTTTGGCGTTCGTTTTTCTTGGCCTCGATCTTTGACTCTACTGAAGATAAATGGCTGCCTACGTTATGGATTTCTTTAGCTAGATTTGCCACATCTTTCCTGGCTTTAGAGATGTCCTCTTCCATATCATCCACGGCTTGCTTCTTGGCCTGCTTCTCTTGCTTGAACTTCTCCATTTTCTCCTTGTCTTCATCTATTTCCTTCAAATAGCGGGCCTCAGCAGTTTTCAGTCCCTCCAGAGCATCTTCCTCATCCTGAACGCTACGCTCCCACCGCTCCACATTCTCTACAAGCCAAATCATTAAAATGGTTACATTATTACCCTAGAATTACTTACTTTTCGTGTCTTTCTGCTTCTCGAAGTCCAGCTGCGAGTTTATGGAATCTATTTGCTGCTCAAACTCGGCCCGCTTTCGTGCCCGCTCCTGCTGCATCACAAGTTCCCGCTCCTCGTATTGCCGAATGTTCTTTACACCCAAACGGCGACAGAACGAGGCGTATACCTTGTCCTCCACATTGTTCATGTTTTCTTTAATTTCTTGAATGTGCTCCTCTCGGTTTTGCATACGACGTTCGATCTCGAGAATCTTGGGCTGCGATTAGAATAAGCTAATTATTATTTCAGTATGTTTTTAATTTGAAAACTGCACTCACCCCGAAATCATCCAGCTGGGTTTGCACCTGCTGTAACTGGCTATCATACTGAGCAATTGACTTCTTTGAGGACTCCAAATCTACCATACTATACTTAAGCCGATTCTCCAGTCCCTTGATCTGCGACTCCACAGTAGCGAGCTCACTCTGTTTGCGTGACTTTTTTACTAGCTCCTTGAGCTCTTCTTGAAGGCGCTCCTTTTGCATTTTCAGCTGGGCCATATGCTTCTCGTCCCACCGCTTGGCCTTCCGCGCCAAATCGTGACTGCCACCAGATATGAGACCAGATTTCTGGTAGAACGTTCCGTCCAAAGCCAGAGCATCGAAACGGGATCGGTCAATTTCGTAGGCTACTTTCATGGCGTCCTCAGGAGTCTCGCAGACGAGAGCGTTTCCAGTCGCAAAAAGGACGGCACGTTCGATCTCCTGCGGCTCGAATTTGAGCACATCAAAGACCAATCGGACATTACGCGGATCGCTTATGTTACGAAGTCTTTCTTTTAATGGTTTGACTTGCAAGTAGTCCAAGGGCAAAAAAGTTTCGACTTCCAGCATTTGCTCTTTCAATATCTGAGGGCCAAATACATTCATTAATCTGCTAAGACCGCTGCTGTAAAAAGGAAACCAACCTGAATGCAGTGTCGCGCCGTTTTCTCGGTGTCCACAATAATAGCTTCCATAAACTTTCCCAGGACTTTGGTGACGGCCACGTTGTACCGCTTGTGAGTAGGCTGACACATATTTATCATACGGTCGTAGACTCCCGGAACTTGCTTCTTAAACAACTCCACTACCTCTTGTTTCTTTTTCCGCCGAGCATCCTCGTGCTTATCGCTTTTGGCATCGCCTAGTTGGTCGCGTACGTCCTCCAGCTCGCGTTGCTTCTCGGCAATTTTCTCTTTGGAGGTGCCTACATCTCGTCGGAGTTCATCCTTAATACGATTCTGCTCCTCTAGAGCCGCCTGCGAGGATTTAATGTGATCCATAAGTTTATCTCGACGTTTTACAGCTTCCTCGCGCTGTAAGGTGAGCTTCTTAAATGATTCCTCTACCGAGGCGCGGCGGTTGGTCTCACCATCGAGAGTATCCTGTTCCGATTTCTGCTCCCGATTTACTGAGTCCAGCTCGGAACGGTATTGGGTGGCTGTGGCCTCCGCCTCTTGTTTAAGACGATCGTATTCCTGCACAAGACCCTCCTCCATGTTAACACTCTTGCCCCGGCGCTGCGATTCGTTCTCGATTTCGTCTTCGAACCGCTTTTTCAGGGCCTCGACATCAGCTAGCTGCTTCTCCAGTTTTCGAATATCCGACTGGTGGGCATTGTCCGCCTCGCGGGCCGTCTCAAGGGTTTTCTGGAGCGAAACGAGCTTCTTCTTGCAGTGGGTAACCTTTTCCTTGGCTTTTATGTACAGCGGCCGCCGTTTATTCATCTGGGTCTCAAATTCCCGAATCTCCTGATCAATTTTGGCCAGGTCTCGAGTTATCTTTCCCGCATCCTTCTTCTTTTCACGCAGAATTTCATCGGCGGCTTCCTTCCGTTGCTCCACTGTCTTCACTTCCTGCTGCCTCACCTCCAAATCTCCAGTGAACTTCCGTATGTCGCGCTCTACATGGAATAGTCTAAACAGTTGATACTCCACTTGTTTCTCATTCTATTGGAATTAAAGGTTATTAAACATTTTATCAAATTAGAAGAAAAGCGAGTCGTACGTATTCGTTTTGCAGGCGGGTGTAGCGATCGGCTTCCATCTTTTCGTGCTTCGCCTCCTTTCGTTCTGCGGCAATACCTTTCTTCTTTTGGTAAGTGAATTGAGTCTCTTCCTCGGCCACAATCATTTCCTGTTTTAGACGATTGTAGTCATCCTTGAGCAGGCCAGAGCTGGAAAAGTAAGCATAAGTTGGTACACCAATGGTTTTTGGTCTTCAGCTGAAATTTACCCGCTAATTTCCTCAAACAATGCCGTACGTTCTTTGGGCGTCTTCATGGCTATGTTCTCCACGGCTCCCTGGAAAACCAAAAAGTTTTTGGCCTTAACATTGATTCCTATTTTCTCTAGCTTGTTGAGGTAGGTGTTGCTCGAAACGCTCTAAAATGAAAAAAAGTTTTAATGGCTATAAAGACGATAAGTTTATAGAACAAACCTCTCCGTTAATGCGGAACTCTGAAGAGCCGCTGATCACGGCTCGTTGAAAATCCATATGCTTTTCCTGGTTGAGCACAAACTTCGCCGTCACATAGCAGCTGCGAGAAACTGGCTTGCCGATTGAGGAGCCATGGATCAAATCGTTCAGACGTTTCACTCGCAAGCTGCTGGTCTTTTCGCCCATCACGAAACTGATGGCATCCATGAAGTTGGACTTGCCGGATCCGTTGGGCCCGATCACGGCGTTGAATTGTTTCAGAGGACCCACCACTATGTGGCCGCGGTAGGACTTGAAGTTCTCCATTTCAATGTACTCCAGGAAGGCCGTTTCATCGTCTGGCTTGCGAATCGGCGCCGGCGCCATCCTATGGGCACCCTCATCGTCTTCGTCGGCCATTCGCACCTTTGGTTGCCAAAAAATTCACACAAAATAAGAATAAGAGCGCGAAATTAATTTTTTCGCTAGAAAGCAATAAGACGCTAGAAATGGCAGGGTGTGGGAAAAAAGTATCGATAGGGCACCCTAATTTACAGTGCCGCTGTATATCGATTTATCAACTTTCGATTGCTGTATTAAAGGGAAATTATCATTGCATTTGTTTTCAAAAAGGAAATTATAAACGTTGAAATTATAAATAAAATAATTGAATATAAATATACATGAAATTCGAATATCAAACAAAAGAAAACGATTATTGAAACGAAATAAAGTATAACAATATACTTTATGTATTACCCTCCATTAATAAAATTATTAAAGGTCATGGAAAATGTGTACATACATACATAAGACACGTATATGTATACATACACGTATATGTGTACATATGTAAGACACGTTTTATTTTTATTAAAATTAGCACATATTGCAAAGTGAAAAGCTTTTTTGCATTTTCTTTTGCAATCACATTTATTTATTATTTAAATCTACATACATACATACATATGTATACTTTTTGGAAATACTCGCCTTTTAATAATTATTCAAAAAGGTATTTTAATCTAAAAATCTGTCGAATAAGAGTTACTTTATTGCAAGGTAAACTTAACAAAAATGTATACATTTTGCATCGGTATAAGACAATAAACATACATATAAATAGTACTTATACAGACGTCAATAAGGCAAATAAACATAATCTAAAAATATTAATGGTATAATGTATTAATACGAAAATGTGCCAGAAATAGCTTACACACGAATTTAGTTTTATGGGCGAATCGAACGCTGACCTACGACACGGAAAATTATATCCCTCGATTGTTCCTGAACTTTCTACTCCTTTCATCTTTCACAATTTCCCCTTAGAAGCATACACTAGTGTTGACTCGCTCGCACTCACTCGAAAGCCCAGGAAGGTTCCACTCTTTTCTCGCAGGGAAATCTCGAATTTTCCCCTCACTGCAGCTGGGTATAAATACGAGCGCAAATTTCCCAGCCGCCACATTTGAAATCAAGCAACCAAAGTAAAAACACTGAAAGCAAGTGAAAAAAAGGAAAGCATTCATAAGTGACAGTTGAAAACGGAATATTTATTGAGTGAAATAAAAAACACCAATCTAAAATTAAATAAAGTAATAAACGAAACGAATTATTCATCCAAGTTTTAACCAAAAAGCAAGAGAAACAAATCTAAGATGCCAGCTATTGGAATCGATCTGGGCACCACGTACTCCTGCGTGGGTGTCTTCCAACATGGAAAAGTGGAGATCATAGCCAACGACCAAGGAAACCGTACCACGCCCTCGTATGTGGCCTTCACCGACTCTGAGCGCTTGATTGGAGATGCAGCCAAGAACCAGGTGGCTATGAATCCCAAGAACTCGGTTTTCGACGCCAAGCGTCTTATCGGACGTCGCTTCGACGACCCAAAGATCCAGGAAGACATGAAGCACTGGCCTTTCCGTGTAGTCAACGATAACGGAAAGCCCAAGATGAGCGTTGAGTTCAAGGGTGATGAGAAGCGCTTTGCGCCAGAGGAGATCAGCTCAATGGTGCTTACCAAGATGAAGGAAACAGCAGAAGCTTATTTGGGCTCTCCGGTCAAAGACGCCGTCATCACAGTGCCCGCATACTTCAATGACTCCCAGCGCCAGGCTACGAAGGATGCAGGCGCCATTGCAGGTCTTAACGTGCTTCGCATCATAAACGAACCTACGGCGGCAGCACTGGCCTATGGACTGGACAAGAACCTCAAAGGCGAGCGCAATGTTCTCATTTTTGACTTGGGCGGTGGGACCTTTGACGTCTCTATTCTGACCATCGACGAAGGTTCACTGTTCGAAGTGCGTTCCACCGCTGGAGACACACATCTGGGAGGCGAGGACTTTGATAACAGGCTGGTAAACCACTTGGCCGAGGAGTTCAAACGCAAGTACAAGAAGGACCTCCGCTCTAACCCGCGTGCTCTTCGTCGCCTTCGGACGGCTGCTGAGCGGGCTAAGCGCACTCTCTCATCCAGCACAGAGGCATCTCTGGAGATTGATGCCCTGTTCGAAGGCCACGACTTTTACTCTAAGGTGAGCCGCGCCAGATTCGAGGAGCTGTGCGGTGATCTCTTCCGCAACACGCTGCAGCCGGTTGAGAAGGCACTCAATGACGCTAAGATGGACAAGAGCCAGATTCACGACATAGTCCTGGTCGGAGGCTCAACACGTATTCCGAAGGTTCAAAACCTGCTACAGAGTTTCTTCGGTGGAAAGGCCCTTAATTTATCCATCAATCCGGATGAGGCTGTCGCCTATGGAGCTGCCATCCAAGCAGCCATTCTGTCGGGCGACGAGAGTAGCCAGATTAAGGACGTACTGCTCGTAGATGTGGCCCCACTCTCGTTGGGCATTGAAACTGCCGGAGGGGTGATGACTAAACTGATTGAGCGCAACAGCCGGATCCCATGTAAACAGTCTAAGACATTCACTACTTACGCTGACAACCAGCCGGCGGTGACCATTCAGGTGTTTGAGGGCGAACGCGCTCTAACTAAGGACAACAACGTTCTGGGCAACTTTAATCTGACTGGTATTCCACCTGCCCCCAGAGGAGTGCCCAAGATCGACGTCACCTTCGACTTGGACGCTAATGGTATCCTGAACGTAACAGCCAAGGAGCAGGGAACTGGAAACGCTAAGAACATCACCATCAAAAACGACAAGGGTCGGCTCTCTCAGGCTGACATTGACCGCATGCTCAGCGAGGCTGAGAAGTATGCCGAGGAAGACGAGCGTCATCGCCAGCGGATTGCTGCTCGCAACCAACTGGAAAGCTATGTGTTCGGCGTGAAGGAAGCGGCCGAACATGGTGGCGACCGCATAAGTGCTTCGGACAAGAGCAGCGTTCTGGAGCGCTGCAGCGAGACGGTCAAGTGGTTGGATAGTAACACAACCGCTGAGAAGGAAGAGTACGAGCACAAATTGAAGGAGTTAACTCAGTTTTGCAGCCCCATCATGACCAAGATGCACCAGCAGGCAAGTGGAGATGGGCAGCAACAGGCTCCAAATTGTGGACAACAGGCTGGCGGCTACAAGGGTCCCACCGTTGAGGAGGTGGACTAAGTCAAATAGTATCCTACGTAGAAACACCACTAATGTAGATCTCATAACCAAATATCCTCCTGGCCAATTACTAAGAATATTTTAGTTAGAATATGCTACTGAGTAGTAATTAATAAATATTATTTATGACTTGCCAAAACAAGCAAAATGCGTTTAATTTAAAAATTATTTAATCCTCTTTGGGAAGACATCTTTGTTGAATTTTATGGTGGTAGAACACAATTTACCTTTAAGAAATAAGACAGAAATAATTTGTAATACGTCATAATTATTAAATATATCTTATTTACTTAGACAAGCCTTCTCGCTGGGCCCAGTCTAGCCATGATCCCTCGTAGTTCTTTAAATTCTTGAAACCCAAAGCGGCAGCTGCTTCTGCGGCCTTGAGGCTCCGTTTGCCAATTTTGCAATGAAATATAATTTCCGAATCCGGTTTCGGCTTTTCCCGACCATATTTGGATTTGAAAAGCTGTTCGCTGGCAGCCAATTCCTGACTGACCACCCCCAGCGGAATGTTGATGCTGGTGGGGATTTGCCCTGTTTCTTTTAGCTCCTCTGGCTCTCTGACATCGATGAGCAGTTTCTGGGGTTCGCTGGGCAGCTTCTTAACGACATCATAGTCAACTACCCCAATTGCAGGTGCGTTGTTGCTGTAAAAACGCTGCATTAGGTAGTTCTGAGTATTCCTGGCTGTGTTCAACGGGATCTGGGACTTGGCTACCCTCACAGCCATCATACAGTGTCTCATCATTTTTTCCACTTAGTTTATAACTGATTAAAATCACAACAAATAACAATTATTACGTAAAATGTCAAAGAACAACAATTGATAACCGGCTCTCAGCTGTTTGACAATTCACCACAATTATACTGTGAGGTGAATAATCTAGGTGGTAAATTTCAATTTGGCGCGGCATTTTGAAACTTATTGCGATCGATGTGGTACTATTTAAAAAGTGTAAGCTACAATTTCCTTTCAATTACTTTTTTTCTCGAGTTTGAACTTTGTTTTAAATAGTTTTTCCAATTAATTTTCAAACAATTTAAGTAAGTCTCCTCTTATCCATAAACTGAGTAAGTAGTAATTATTAAAAAATATTCCATCCTATGGTTAAAGCTTTTACTTAAACACATTTACAGCACTGTGTTGCTTAGAAATGGCGCCACATTCGAAAGTTCCCCTATTGATTACCCTAATACCGCCTGACGCTGATGCTTGGTTCGCAATCAAATCTGTTGCCAGGGCGAATAACCAACACTCACGGACTTCGTGGAGTGTGTGTGTCAAGGCCTGGGACCAAATCACCCGTCACCGCCTGATAAGTTCAACGTACAAGATTCCCGCCTGCCAGGCTTGATTGAATCAATTAAACGGAATGGATTGCGATCCCGGATTCGGTCCGCAAGTAAACACTGGGTGGGGTAAGGCATAAACGACTGGGCATCTCCCCATCGGTACCGGCACGCGTTTGTCTAGCCAGAATGGATTTCATTCAAGTTCAGGTTCCTAGATAGCCCATTGTTGACATCCGGAAAAAGAGTTCAAATTCAACTCCCCAGAGAGTTTTTGGGCCCGATAAGCCGAACAACACAGACGTAGTCTTACTCAACGGCTGGTGGTTCAACGACTTCGTTTCGGATCGGTAATGCTTATCAAATTGGCTCCTGATAACGCCTTGCCCACCTCAACAATCGCTGTTCTACTTAAGAAGCGCGTGCCGGAATGAGTTAATTGACGTGCTGTTGTTGTTCTCAAAGATATTTCGACGTTTATTTGTATAAAATATACTTATCACTACATAAATGGCAAAAATACACAGAGTTAGCTTCGCAGGATGTTCACAAAATACATTTGCCTAGGACACGAGCGTCTAATGCTAATACAACGAGTGATGTGAACTGATGGGTGACAGGACTTTGCACTTATTAGGTACATGATTTGGGCTCCTCTTTTCATTTGGCGCCCGCGATATGGCCAAGTGACTCACCCACACGGATCTTTTGGCCGGCAACAATGTCGAATTTAAAGTTTTTGGGAGCCTCGAACAGGAGGACAATTGTGCTGCCCATATTGAATTGACCCACCAGGTCGCCCTTGCCAAATTCCTTCGGTGCAGCTGTGGGTTCCTTGTTTAGGGCCAGTTCATCGTACTCGTAGGTACTTGGTGGATGCTTGCCGACATTAAATCCAGTCCAACGGTTCGTCTTTAGTTCGGAATCCATGTAGATCTCGACAGACCCCACGTTAGTGGCACCCACGGCGGTGTAAGAAAAGAATCCGTGCTTCCATTGTCCCATGTAGAGTACACGTTCGTTGAGGCAGAACAGACCAGGCAGCCAGCCGGCCACTTTCGGACTTACGGACAGGAGTTCGCCAGAAAAATGGCGACGAATAGTGGGCTTCCAAGCAGTGGGTGAGTGGAATCGATGGTAATCTCCGGGGGCCAGATATATCACGCACTGGTACAGCTCCGTGGAACCATCACTTTGCTTCTTTAGTGCCTGGGCGTAGGAGGCTCCGGAATTGGCCTGTTCCACAGTTTCTAACGGACCTAAGAAGTCCTCGATGCTGTAGCTAACACCCTTCACCTGCTCGATTAGTGAATCCGAAGCGCTGCCAAAATGCAGAACTTTTCCGTCGGCGGGAGATACTAGAGGTGCCTCTTGATTGATAATGCGAACTCCCTCCTTTAGGGGTCTTGTAAAGAATTCGGCTAGACTGTTGTAGTGATCATATTCTGGATACATGGCCTCACTCAGATTGACGTGGAAAGTATTGGAATACCATCCGTATACATAAGGACGCAGACTAGGTGGCAAGTAGCAAGCGGCCAGCCATCCCCAACAGCGGCTAATTATGCGAAGTGGCAGAGAGCAGTAGATCCGCGACTGTAATTCGGATGCGGTCCGCGGTTGACCGTCTTTCTTACAGCGCCTCTTCTGCAGCTGCCATTCAATTGCGCCAAATACACAGATGCCCATGGGAGCCCAGCGTAACAGGAAGCCCGTCCAGCGTGAGAGTATATTGCGCCGTATCTGGGCCAACTCCTGGCTGGGATTGGACTGCTGTTTATGCTGTGGTCGCCTGTGGTGTAGGGGTGCCTCTTTGGAGGCAGAATTCGAGGAGAACTGTCGAAAATGACGGGCCACTGGAAGACTGGCATTCTGAGCCTGTGGCTGGGGTCCTTTAATGGTTTGCAGCTGAAGCTGGGCCGGCTGATGCTGCTGCTGTACCACCTGTCTGAGATTGCCGGCCTTTAGCAGGAAGCGGCCACGAGGTACGAAGTAAGAAACCATTGTTGCTCTTGCTATTGATAAACCGCAGCCCCCACCGCACTAATCACGTAATCACGTAATGCTTGTGCCCAGATAAAAATGGCACGATGTGTGGAACTGGTCTCGGCTTCTGTTTTTGTTTGTTTAATCTGGTGCGAGTAATTCGGCTGGCTTTTAAGTGACTGGGCGGCGCAGATCCGCAAATCTAAAAATCCGGCTAGGGCCTAGGAACAGATGCAAAATAAAACACTAGCATTCGTTTGGGGGAAATCTCGATCAGTCGGCACTCTTGTGTCAGATTTCAAATGTTCGGGGGAGTGAGGACGTTTCTGGACGTTTTAATTGTTGCTTCCGAATCGCTGTGCTGCCTGCAAGAGACTGAAAGTTTTCCATGGGTCGTCAAAAGCGAAGAGGCTACAATGTGACCACCACCAGTGCTGCCAGCTTATGTATTTAGCTTTAAAATCTAGATTAAACAAGCCAAAACCTGTGCTGCCAAATTGCTGGAATATTTGAATTATATATAACTGAAACATCAACGTCCCTTGGCAATAAACTTTAGTTTTGAGTGCAAGCCTGAATCAATTTCTCTATTTAGTTAATTTATATTATTTCCTTCTTGAGTTGCCTTTGCCTATCAACGTTTGTGACGTACCACAAATCATAGATTGCGGAAGTCAATGTCCTTAACCTTTAATACTATGACTGGGCGTGGGGTACTAAATACGTCATTTCACAACTTCAAAGTGCGAATACAATTCGTTTGATAACAATATTATAAAAATTTGTTTTGGTTTAATTTTTTTAAATTTTGTTGACAATTTTTAAGGTATAGAAGAACAAAATAAGATACTATTATAAAATAAACCAAATACTTTCAAGCTAATTTAGCAGCACTGGAGACGGCACTGCGTCTAAATGTTCTGTTGCTCACCAAAACAAACTAAAAGCGAAACCACCGCTTGCGGTCTCTCTTATCAGCAGGAATAGTGGTCAAGGCCTGCGTCTCCGCAGCACACTCAAGCCACTTCGGTGGACACAATTGAGAAATGTTTTTGTTTAAAACTGGTTTTTCCTTATTTCATTCTTTTTATTGTCCCGCTTGTTGTTGGTTGACAATATTCTGTCCGATTAACTGCGCCATTTTCAACTGAGTATCGGGAGAGGCTGGCAACTCTGGCAACTGCTGCCAAACAGCTGATCAATTATTTGTGTTTTTACAATCTGTGAAAAATTTATTTGTATGCAAAAATCGAAGGACAACAAATAGCGGCCACAATGAGCGAGGCGGAGAAACAGGCGGTGTCCTTCGCCTGCCAGCGCTGTCTACAGCCCATCGTCCTGGACGAGCAGCTTGAAAAGATTAGTGTGCATGCCATGGCAGAATTATCTTGTAGGTATTTAGTGCAGTACCATGGAAATCCCTCTAATGAATCAGCATTTGCAGTACCCATTTACGGAGACAATGGAAATACTTTAGACCCCCAGGACGCTAGCAGCTTCGATCACTTTGTCCCGCCCTATAGGCTCACAGACTCTATCAATGGCACGGGCTTTATGTTGGTCTCCGATGGCAGAGATAACAAGAAGATGAGTGCCGCCTTTAAGCTTAAAGCGGAGCTGTTCGATTGTCTGTCATCCAATTCTGAGATTGACCATCCACTATGTGAGGAGTGTGCCGATTCCATGCTGGAGATCATGGACCGGGAGCTGCGGATCGCCGAGGACGAGTGGGATGTATACAAAGCCTATCTGGATGAACTGGAGCAGCAAAGAGAAGCGCCAAATGTTGATGCATTGGATAAAGAGCTGGACGAACTGAAGCGCAGCGAACAGCAGCTTTTATCGGAGCTGACAGAGCTCAAAAAGGAGGAGCAATCACTGAATGAGGCTATTGCCCAGGAGGAGAAGGAAAGGGAAGAGCTCCACGAGCAGGAGGAGAGCTACTGGCGGGAATACACGAAGCACAGGCGCGAGTTAATGCTCACAGAAGATGACAAGCGGAGTCTGGAGAGCCAGATTACCTACTCGAGGCAGCAATTGGATAAACTTCGGGACACTAATATATTTAACATTACCTTTCACATCTGGCATGCCGGACATTTTGGTACCATTAATAACTTTAGGCTAGGTCGTTTACCCTCTGTATCTGTAGACTGGTCTGAGATCAACGCTGCATGGGGACAGACTGTGCTCCTGCTCTCTGCTTTGGCTCGGAAGATCGGACTTACCTTCGAACGGTATCGCGTAGTCCCCTTCGGCAATCACTCATATGTGGAGGTGCTCGGCGAGAATAGAGAGCTACCGCTTTACGGTAGCGGTGGTTTTAAATTTTTCTGGGACACCAAGTTTGATGCTGCCATGGTGGCTTTTCTCGATTGCCTTACACAGTTCCAAAAGGAAGTGGAGAAGCGCGACACTGAGTTCCTGCTGCCGTACAAAATGGAGAAGGGCAAGATAATCGACCCTTCCACGGGCAATTCCTATTCAATCAAGTTTGTTTTTCTTGAGTTTAGTTTCTAGGCCAAAAATAATGTTTCGATTTATTGCAGGATCCAGTTTAATTCGGAGGAGCAGTGGACCAAGGCCTTGAAGTTCATGTTGACCAACCTGAAATGGGGATTAGCCTGGGTTTCCTCGCAGTTTGTGTCGCCGTGATGTCATTCTAATGTTTATTTATAAATTTACTTAATAATCCTCTTAGTCCTTAGTATTAAATCGAAATCTTTTAAATTTTAAATAGTCTTGTAACATGTTTGCTTTATTTGTCTAGTTTTGGATGGCCTTTTTCTGAGTTTCCGGTTCGACCTCGCTGTCTTCTGAGTCCGAGTCGGATCCTGAGATGTCATCACCTATCCAAAGCGTTCCCTTTTTCTTCTTCTTGGCCTTGCTCTTGTCTTCGGCAGGGGATTTCCTCTTGATGCCGCTGGTTGATGCTTCCTGGGCCTGAGCCTCCTTCTCCTTGATTTCTTCCGCTTGCTTGAGCCCTTCCTCGAAGGCGTCGTTTACCTTCTCGGTAAGATTGGCTCTAGCTTCCTCGTACTGATCGTCTTTAAAGTCGTGCTTCGGTACCGACAGAAGTTTCTCGATTTTTCGCTTCTTTCGCTCCTCTGCCTCTCGATCCCGCTCTCCCTGTTTGTCCAGCCAGGCACGCACTCGTTTTTCCTCGTTTATGTCCCTCAGGCGGCGGCCACTCAAATCACGACAAGCCTCACGATTTGTGGTCTTTTCAATTTGAGCTCCAATGGCTCGCAGCATGGAACCGAATCCTCCCTTGCCGCCCAGCTGGCGCATAAAACAGTGGACATCTCCAGGCGCAACCTCTCCCTCCAATCGTTTGCCATTGCTTACCAAATAGTAATCCGCAGGTTGCAATTTCTGTAATAAGAGAGCATCATTTAGGAAACGCTCGAAATTCACTAGATACTGTACTTACTGTGTTCTTCTCAATCCGGCTGCATAGCTCATCATAATTTATGCCATCTGCACAAGTAATTAAATATTTATTGTTTATAAAAATATTTATAACCATTTCGACGTTGTGTCTTTTCGATAACGATTCTTATTTCTATTCCTTTTTGTTCTGCATCTCCTGCCGCACCGCGTGTGTTAGAAAGAGAAAGCGGTGATGCCATCGCTATCGGTTTCCCTAGGGTTGCCATCCTTTCGATAACTTTGTAATAAATTAACTAAATCAACGAACAAGGAATTGATCTTTGTTAGTATACCACTTAATAACCATTAAATATCCTGAACTAAATAAATCACAAAGAAACACAAGGTATTTCTAAACTTTTCATTGCATTTCTTAGCTTGCCGCCATTGCGTTTTTATTTTCTTGCGAGTTGGCAGCCCTGACTCTCGCACACAAAAATCTCATTAATTAGTTCGCATTTTAGACAACGAAGGTAAAATTTTAGCGACGCGTTAAACGTACATTTGCAGCGTCTAAAAACAACGAAAGTTGCAAAAAATTAATAGAAACCGGTAGCGGCTAAATTTGATCGATAAGTGAAGTGTTCAAAAAGAGTACTGAGCAATTAAAATGCGGTAAATTTACAACCGCAGCCACGTCACAGAGAGCGCATTAACAAAAAAAAAGAGTACGGATTTTGTTAGCAAAATCCTAATCTGAACAATGGGCATTAAATGCACTATAGCGCGACAGCGATAAATGTTAAACCCAGTTTTCGGCATCGCTTGTCGGCAGCGGGGGCGGGGGCGTGGCGGTTAAAGGAGGCGGGGGAGCGGCATTAAAAGATGGCAGCACAAAAGCGAACAAGATACATACATATGTACATATGTATAGCGGCAAGCTGAAAAGGCAAATGAAAAGTCCCGCATTCAAATCGGCTTGGTATTGGTATATTGGCATTAGTTTAAATACACTCAATAACCAAACCGAAAAAAGCAAAAGAAAAGTGGCGACTCATGTGAGCTAAACGCAAACAAAAAGACCATCGCAAGACGCCTCTGCGTGCGTGTGTGTGAGTGCTCGACAGTGTTGTGTGTGTGTGTGAGAAAAGAGACGAAGAAAATAAGCAGCAAATGAGCAACAAAAACCACCCCGCCATTCCCTTTTCGTCGACTCTTCTGTTCTATGACTTTGACTGACATTTTCTAGCGCCGCCGCCGCCACTGTCGCAGAAATAATCAAAATCAAGTTTAGTGCTATGCAAATTAAAATTTGATTTCGCAGAGTATTGAACAAGAATCTAATGCAACCGTGTGTTCGCCCTCCTGCCGGTTTCGCAAATTGCCTACATATTTCTCTTCTTTCTCCCTGTTTTCTTTTCTCCTCATTTTGTTATCGACGGTCATTCATCTTCTAGTCGATTTTCGTTTTTCCTTTCGCCCTCTTCGTTGCTGCGTTGGTGTGCCACTGAGTCTCTGCATATGTGAGTTGTGCGTGAGTGGCCCAAAAAGAATTTGGCTAAAGTGAATACAGAAATTTATTAATTATAAACTAAATCATTTTGCAAGACCCGCAAGTTCGTTGCGAATGAATGGCTATTGTCAATTGTTGGCCATTCGCTTTGTTATAAAAGCAGGCAGTCTCTTTCCCACTATCACCCCCTCTCTTTCTGATGCTATCTCCCTTACTCCCTCTCTCTGTGTGTGCGTGTGAGGGAGCGTGCGTCTGTGTGTGCGTGTCCCTGCACTGCTTTGCCGCCTTCTTTGTTCCCCGCCAGCGAAAGGGGGCGGGGCAGGGCAGAGTTGTCGATTTATATCCATATCATTTGCCTGGTTTAAAGCCCGCCGATCATGTGCCATTAGACCTTGTCCCACTCTTCCGGTTATCAGCCCTCAACTAACCCAAATTTACCTCTCTCTTTTACTCTCTTTTGCAGCAGCAGCAGTTCCAGGGTCAGCTTCGAAATCAAAAATAATACTTAACCTGCGAACTTTGACACTGTTCAACATAGCTAACTAATTTTTGTACAAGAACAAGAATTACCAGCCGCAATCAAGTATTCATCTATACATTTATACAATCCTGTATATTGGAACGGACAACTATAAATTCATAAATCTAACATCATAAGATAATTGAAGTACCAATTACCGTACCCCAAGGAATCCCGTAATCCGAATCCCAGACCCCCAGAAAACGGAGATAACCGATTATAGATACATATATAGTGCGACAAATCGTATATTCCAAAACACTCCATTAGCGTTTAGTTAGGACAGATATATTTATACGTATACATATAGATGTTTAACGAAATTTTCAATTAGGCGCCAGATTAGGAACGAAGAAAAGCAATAAACGACGAACCTCAGCGTTAAGCATAAAGATCTACCTACCTAGATACAACATATATAGTTTATATAATCCAAATACCAGCCAAGTCGAGAGTGATTCGAAGATTAGTAGCAAATCGAAGTATTTAAATTTCTAGCCGAGTTATCTGTTAGCAGCTAGCACCTTTTAAATCGCCGCAAAGACATCTGTTTAATTAGCAGATACATATTTAGATTTTGTACGTAGCTAGGAACATCATCTGCATATTTTTGATATTGCTGCCTCTTCCAATTGATGCGGCCAGTTGCAATTGTTGCAATTCCGGTCCGAGTGTAGATTGTCGCTGTAGTTTAGTTTAGATCCCGATAGAAGCCACAGTCCCAGGACATCCGTCAACCATGGACGAGTCGCAACCGAAGACCCTGTACGTGGGCAACTTGGACAGCTCCGTTTCCGAGGACTTGCTCATTGCCCTTTTTGGCACTATGGGCCCCGTCAAAAGCTGTAAAATTATTCGTGAGCCCGGCAACGATCCGTACGCCTTCATCGAATATTCCAACTACCAGGCAGCCACCACAGCCCTGACCGCCATGAACAAACGCCTCTTCCTCGATAAGGAAATCAAGGTAAGTTAGCATTATTACTGACTAGAATATTAATAATTAACATCAGAAATTAATAGGATATGTAAAAAAAAAAAGAGACAGAAAAATTATTACATACTTGATAAAAAATGTAAATATAAAAAAAAATTCAGTTAAGGTTGTTAAACTCGTGTCTCTATTTATTAAGACCAATATTTTAACAAAATTAATTACCACTTATTAACCAAATCCATTTTTCACAGGTCAACTGGGCCACCAGTCCGGGCAATCAGCCCAAGACAGACATCAGCTCGCATCACCACATATTTGTGGGAGATCTTAGTCCCGAAATTGAGACGGAGACTCTGCGCGAGGCGTTTGCCCCATTCGGCGAGATCTCTAACTGCCGTATAGTGCGCGACCCTCACACTATGAAGTCGAAGGGTTACGCTTTCGTTTCGTTTGTAAAGAAGGCGGAGGCAGAGAACGCCATCCAGGCGATGAACGGTCAATGGATTGGCTCGCGGTCGATACGCACCAACTGGTCAACACGTAAATTGCCCGCGCCGCGCGAACCGTCCAAGGGCGGTGGCCAGGGAGGCGGCATGGGTGGAGGACCAGGTGGCAATGGATCCGGTGTAAAGGGAAGTCAGCGCCACACCTTCGAAGAGGTTTACAATCAATCGAGTCCCACCAACACCACCGTATACTGCGGCGGCTTTCCGGCGAACGTCATCAGTGATGACTTGATGCATAAGCATTTTGTCCAGTTCGGTCCTATTCAGGACGTACGAGTCTTCAAGGACAAGGGCTTTTCGTTCATCAAGTTTGTCACCAAGGAAGCGGCCGCCCGCGCCATCGAGCACACGCACAACAGCGAGGTTCACGGCAACCTGGTCAAATGCTTCTGGGGTAAAGAAAACGGCGGCGACAATTCTGCTAATAACCTCAATGCCGCAGCCGCTGCGGCAGCTGCCTCGGCGAATGTTGCAGCTGTTGCTGCTGCAAATGCGGCGGTTGCCGCTGGCGCGGGTATGCCCGGCCAGATGATGACACAGCAACAGATTGCCGCTGCCACAGGAGCGGCGATACCTGGCCAAATGATGACGCCCCAGCAAATTGCAGCCGCCACGGCGCAGTATCCATTCGCCTATCAGCAGATGAGTTACTGGTACCCTCCAGCGGTGAGTTTTGCGAAATAATAGATAAACTTAAGCGGTGATACATGTCATACATACATACTTAAACAAATTGCACTGACTAAGGATCATGAAACTAACTTTTTGTTATTTCAGGCTTACCCCACAACCCAGATGCAAACGCAGTACATGCAGCAGGGCTACTATCCCTACGCCTACACTACCAGTGCTCAGCAAGCGGGAGGAGTCCGTAAGTACCATTTTCTTACTCCCAGAATCTACTTGACCATTGTTTAATCAGCTTGTCTACAATTTTCAGCTGCTGGATACCGCATGATGCCGCCTAATGTCGCATGGGGTGTCCCCGGAACCGTGGTGCCCGGTGTAACGGCTGCCGCAGCATCAGCGGCCGCAGCAGCGAACGGTTCACTTGCCCCCCAGATGATGTACAGTGCTGCGATGCCACAATACCAGACCCAATGAGCTGAGATGTGACGCCAGCTTCGACGCCGTTTGCAGCATCCGGGAAGTCGCCCCCAGCCGCAGCCACAACCACCTCTGCTACACCAGTTGCCGCAGCTGCAGCAATTGCAAGCGCATTACGCACGTTTAGGTTACGTACAATACCGAGTAGTAGGAAAGTCGGAACCGCTCCTGGCCCTGCCGGTGAGCAGCAGTAGCCACATCGATGGTGGCGATGCAGCAGGAGATTAGAGAGTCGCAAGATTGTTCGGTTTAGAGTTGTGGCTACGGTTGCGGCTGACTGTGGTGGGCGGAAGCAGAATCGGAATTGGGGGGTGCTAAAGCTCCCGAGGTCGAAGGTCGAGGCGATGCGTGGAACTCAACTTAAAGTGAACCACGCCGGCGACAACTGAAACAACATCAACTGAAAAGCTCCGGGCGATGGGCGGGTAGCTGTAACAATCTAATCCAATCTAAGTACGTGTTAAAATAATTTAATGATTTGTAATTTAAGCAGATATAGGCGTATAAACGAAACGGAAACAAAATAAACCGAATGAGAAATTCAACAAAAACAAACAGAACAGAAAAATGGCAAATTATGCGAGACAAAGTTAAAAAAGAACAATCGAAACAAACAAAAGAAAGTGACAAAGCAAATTGTAATTGTAACTATGTGGAACATGTGTCAACGAAAACTGAAGACGAAAAAGGAAGCGTCAGCAGGATGAAAGGAAAGCCACAAGCAAGCCGAATGCAAAAAACAAGAGGAAAAACAAATTTAGTCACTAAGAGAATGTAAATTCGAGCATACATATTGTATATTTCCAATGTGGAAAACGAAATGCGATATAAATATGTAAAATGTAAAATAAAGAAACAAAAAAATATATAAAACAAGTGAGAAATCTAATGAAAAATTTTTTTAAATCAGAACGTGGAAGGTTAGTTATACTTAAAAATAATTAGTTTTCACTTTGAATTCAGGGCAGGTCAACTTGCTCTTGCTCCAATAATCCGTAAGGAGTCCGTAAAAGCGAAATGGTTATCTTGGAAGCTATCAGTCTTATTATTTTATATAACTGTCCACGTTATATGTATATGGATTACAGTTGTTTTTAGGTATCCCAATTTCAAGGACAGAAAAGGGCTGCTCATTCATTCACCTTTGAAATCAAAAATGTAAATACTCAGATATGTAGTAACTATTGCATGAAGGGTTGATAAATATAGAAAAAAAAACTCTTTAGGAAGTCTGAAAACTAATTTATGCTTGAATCATTTAAAAGTACGACAATGCTGGTCCTTCAACATACGAGATTCTAATTTTACCCTTTTGTTCTCTATGCAACGCAATTTAAATGCAAAACTAGTTCTCATCAATTCTACTTCTTGCTTGTTTTCAATAAGCTTGATGATGTCAGGTGTTCTAATAAGTTCTAGGTTTAAATACAAATATTCAAGCACTACCACAGATTCTCTCAGAATGATTTGGCCTTTTTATCATGGAACTAACGATTTAAAAGATGTTTGTTGAAATCGATTTTATTTAGCGTATTCTATAGAATTATATTTATACATATTTTTATATGCATGTAGTTTTGGATCTGTGTTTAGTAACTAGTCGTAGAACTCAAATTCCGGGTGGGCGAGCTGCGTAGAAGCTGGTTCAAGGTACCGCGATAAGCGACTGGCATATGTGCGGGTGTAGATGTATCTGATCGACCTGATAACATCAGATCCAAACGCACCTGCTAGGTACATTATTTTTGAAGTGTTACTAATAATATAGGTGATTCGGAGACAATTGTATTTATGACCGTAGGTACATAGACTTAAACAAAGGAACTAAACTAGATTAACGATACGGATAACTATTAAAACTTAAATCCGATTCTGCGCTGGTAAATGTATTTTTGTGGGTGTGTTTAAATATATATCCCATCGGTCTTAGGACTACGCTTACTTCTAGATTACATATAGCTTGTGGATGGGCACTCAATGTACAACAAAAATATGCTCTATTGGTTTCAGGATACAATGGAAGTATATGTGAACTTCTTTGAAAAATTACGCCACTATATGGAATGTTCTAAAAACATGTTTGTAAAGCAACGTGCTTTCGAAAAAACAACTGAAAACTGAAGAACAGGGTGGAAATACTATTCTAGCAACTTCATTGAATAGTATAGATATTCTTACAAATACGCTAGGTTAAATGAGTATAACGATAATGGAGTTACACGACAGATCTTGCACCACTTAAACATGGCGGTAAAACAACGAAAAAAATACAATAAATCTTAAGCTAACACAAGAAACGCATACAAGGAAATGATATTGATTAATTCACTGGTTAATACAAATTCAAACAATGTTTGTGAAACGAAGAGCCTACAGATTGAGTAGAACCTTAATTAAAGAGAGGAAACATGGGTCACATAATCAAAAATAGTGCAACGCCAAATGGTTGCGTTCTGACACTCACATCACAGCTGATTCACACTGAACCGATGGAGGAGGACCGGCACGCTGGCTAGAACAGACTAGATTGTGATGTCGCCATAATCCTGCGACCACTTCTCGTACGAGTTGAGGCTTTGCGGCGCCACCGACCGCCTAATGCGCTTCAACGAACTGTGAAAGTCCTGTTCTGTAATCGCCCGCATCGCACTGATGTCCAGACACTTCACTTGCTCCACATTTAACTCTCGGATGGGCTCCAAGGCGGCGTCCTTAGCAAGGGCCGTCAAATCGGAGCCGGAATATCCGTCTGTGATCTTAGCGAGGCGACGCAGCGCCTCCGTATCAAGCGGACTGCCTTGCTTTTGTAGCAGTCGATTGAGGAGCAGCTCACGGGTCTGCTCATCGGGCAGTGAGACGTAAACGCGCTTCGTAAACCGACGCAGGGCGGCCTCGTCCAATTCCTGCGGTCGATTTGTGGCGGCCAGCACCACGATTCTATCCCCATCTGGATTGCCAGGCAGTCCATCGAACTCCACCAGAAACTCGGTCTTCAGGCGGCGCGATGCCTCATGTTCATTGCTGCTTCGCTCGGAGAGCAAAGAGTCCACCTCGTCGATGAAAATAATGGAGGGCTGCATGTGACGGGCAACTGCGAAGAGAGCCCTCACCAGTTTCTCGCCATCACCCACATACTTGCTGGTCAGCGAGGCAGCCGAAATGTTAAGGAAGGTGGCACTGCATTCGGTGGCAACGGCACGGGCCAGTAGGGTCTTGCCGTTTCCGGGAGGACCAAACAGCAGCAATCCCTTGGCTGGGGCTCGAAGACCTAAGAAGAGAAGAGGAATCATTATAGTGATGGCCCAAGGTTCTTACTAATACCCAACTAACCTGTAAAGAGCTCCGGTCGGACGGATGGCAGAATGACCATCTCTTGCAGAGCCTGCTTGGCCACATCCTGGCCGGCGATGTCCGTCCACTCAACTTTGGCCCCACCCTCCACAATTTCATCGAGTATAAGCTGCACCAGCTTCTGCTCAACGCCTTTCACGCTAACCACTGGAGTACTAGCCCCACTACCACTAGGTCCATTGTTATTTATGGGAGTTCGCGAGCGCTGAGGTGGCGTATTACGTCCCGAAGACTATTGGAAGTGGGTAAGTATATTTATATCCAAACGATGCAAAAATATAAACATTGAGGTGCTTACAAACTGGCGCCGAACGGCGGGAGGCGTGGCAGCCGTCTTGGCTGGCTGCCTTTGGACTGCTCCTATGGATGTTTTGGAACCAAGGTTTCGCGGCAACGTTTGTGACTTGTTGGCCACGGCCAAGTTGACGGGACGCTTGGTTCCAATGGTGAGCTTTCGTCCAGATGCTGTCAATAGAAAAAATCCTGATTAGTAAAGGATAATCTAAAAGATGGTAATATCTAAGCTACAATTTGGCTAAGCAAAATAAAAATCGTAAGAAAATTAAGTGCCAAGTGAGTGGTGATAGGGATTGACTGATCGATCTGCTTTTGGTCGCTGTTGCGCTGCCGTGTGAGGATGTTGTTGGGTGCGCTTTAGCTGGTGAGGAACTTACCCGTGGGCTGAGCACTGGTAGTGGCCTTGGGCCCGTAGCCACTGCTTCGCACCTTAGGCCTAGTAGGTTCGCTGGTCATGCCCGCTAGCATGGGCTCTCGCATCTTCTGGGGCTTGCTTTGAGCCTGCTCCTTCTGCTTCTCCTTCAAGGAGAGACGCTGCATTTGCAAATCCTCTTCACGCAGCGCTGCGCGTTGGATGAACACGAATATATGGGCAAAATCAAGCAGACAAAAAAAAGGCAGGGTAAACGTGCAAAATGAAATAAACAAAAAATGAGGTAAACAAAAACTATGTCTTTGAGGGTATATAGCAAATGGTCAGCCACTCACCCAGAAAGTGTAGACGATCCCGGGCCATCGAAAGGTTCGTCTGCATCTTATCATGCAGCCGCTGGGCCCGATCCCATACATCACCACGTCCACTCCAGCAATCGACAGCTATGCCATCTTCCAACTCTTTGATGCCCTTTCGGTAGAGCTCAATTGCCAGCTCTTTGTGACCTGGAAAAATGTAACAAAATGATTCGGCTGAGCATAAAACGAATTTAAAATTTCCTTTCAGGGACAAGTAAGTCTTTTCCCTTAAAGGATATTTCAAATTCGTTGGTATAAGACTAAAAAGTGATTTCTAACATATTAAATAATAAAGAACTATTTATATATAGAATCTATCTAATCTAATATTTTAAAAATTTTGCTTTCCTATGCTAAATATTTTTTAACCTAATATACCCTTTTGCAGTGTTAAAAGCCCTGTAAAAGAAGCAAAGGATTGAAGGACTCTCAGTCAATAAGTGTCTATCAAGGCGCGCCGCTCCCCCGATTCCTTCTCCGCCTGACATGTGGGGCATCTTTTGTATGCGAGTTTCGGCTTATTGATTCTCACACTCGACAGACAACAAAAGCGTCAAGCGGGCGATGACTCATTGAGCATCGAATGCTCGAACTCGAACTGGAGCTGCCACCCCCGTAATCACTAACCTTCGTTTTCCTCGTCAATCTTCAGTGCCTTGGAGATGTATTCGAATGCACGACGATGGTGATGCTTCTGTTTGGCCAGCAAGGGATCACCGGGACCAGGTGAATAGCCACCTCCTGGACGACTTGCGGCCATTTCTAGAGGTTGAATAGGTCTAAACCGCTGCGGCTGATTGGATAACTGCTGCTCCTGTCCAGCACCTTCACCGTTCAGCTCGGAAGGATGGTTCAATGATTGCTTTTGTTCTTTGGAGGAGTTCTGCACAACGATCTCGATGTTGCAATCGCGTCGGTGCGGTCGGTAAATCACCTTTGTGCTCGCCCCGTAGAGGTAGCGAAAAATACAAAACAGCTGATAAATCAACGAGCGTAGAACGTTGAAGAGAAATATGATGGGGAACGAGACAACGTAGAGGTTCTGTTTGTGCACTGAGGACGAGGAACCGCCGTACGGATGGTGGCCGCTGCGCGGGGAGCACGTAGTAGGGGTCAGGTCATCTGTAGTGGTGGTGTCGTCGTCTCCGTCGGGCGAACTGCCCGGAGTGCGGCGATTTGAGGAGCCTCCACCGGCGTTAGATGAAGCGCCGGATACAACTGCGGCAACGTTGGAGGCGCTCGATGAGCGGTGTGTTGACTGGCGACCACCGACGCCTCCACCCGATGATCCTGCTCCGCCGCTGGATTTAATTGGAGACTTGGTACTGCTACTGCTGGCGCTGGAGGAGGACGACTGGTTTTTGGTGCGTACCATCGATATCGATTCCGCGCTGTCTGCGCGTCCAGCACTCCGGACCCCCTCTCTCCTTGCCCTTACCCCACAACAGTTACACGGGCAAGTCGTCCTTTAAACCAAATCGCTTGGCCGTGGCACGCGTTGGTATCAATAGTGCACACAACAACAAACGAACTACTCCACTATTAATGTCCGTCTTTCGAGCAAGATCTCATTTTTCTGATATCCGAGAATACTTATTTTTAAGGGACGTTGAAAATTGAAGCGAAGCTCTGGAGTCCCAGCCAGTGCTGCCCGACTATCGATTACCAAATCTAGCGGGTATAGTTTTTAGGGTTGAAAAAAGCAAGTTTAAAGTTTGAAAGTTGAGATGTAACGGAATAGTATTAAATTGGAAGATTTCTTCTCAAAGATCGTTTTTAGGAATTGATTTTAACAAAAACTATTTATAAGTTATATATCTCTATATATATATCTTGTGTCCTATACATGGCCTTATTTAATGGTAAACGTCAGATGATAAAATATAGATGGTATATCAAAAAACCAAGATACCAAAAATAAAAATTGAACAACCGGTATTTTTTGAATTACTGTTTACGTGTCAAAATTATTTTACTGACCAGAATCGATTTTGTTCAGATTGTTTAAATTTTTATAACTTAAGCCCAATTGTCATTGGACAAAAACATCGTTGTGCTTTACAGTGGCCCGGTGTGGCAGCCCTGGCAGTTGGGTTGTGATATAGGTATATCGATAGCCCAACCTTGATACATCAACTGCCATCCCATCTCACTCGGTTGTTTTTTTTTGCGTTTTTGCATAACAAAATCTTGGAAATTCGCCCAAAAGACAGGCGTTTGCGAACCCGGAGACCAGAAGACCAGGAGCGGCATATCCCACTTCCAGAGCAGTCGGAATGGGACAGTACACGGCGTCGCAGCGCAAAAATGTGAGGATCCTGCTCGTGGGCGACGCCGGGGTGGGCAAGACGTCGCTGATTTTGTCGCTGGTCAGCGAGGAGTACCCAGAGGAGGTGCCTCCGCGGGCAGAAGAGATTACCATTCCGGCCAATGTGACTCCCGAGCAAGTGCCCACCAGCATCGTTGACTTCTCGGCAGTGGAGCAGTCGGAGGATGCCTTAGCCGTTGAGATCAACAAGGCACATGTGGTGTGCATAGTGTATGCCGTCGATGACGATGATTCCCTTGATCGTATCACCTCACACTGGCTGCCGCTTGTACGCGCAAAGTGTAATCCCTCCCTGGACGGTGAGGGTGATGCCGAAGCTGAGGCGGAGGGTGATGTACAGCGAGAGCCTATTCGCAAGCCAATCGTACTCGTGGGCAATAAGATTGATCTGATTGAGTACTCCACCATGGACAGCGTGCTTGCCATCATGGAGGACTACCCCGAAATTGAAAGCTGTGTGGAGTGCTCTGCCAAGACGCTGCACAATATCTCCGAGATGTTTTATTACGCACAAAAGGCTGTGCTGCACCCCACTTCACCACTTTACATGATGGAAGAGCAGGAGGTAAGTACTTCTAGTTTTGTCATGATGAATTATAGGTCAGAACGTAATCTTTGCGTCATGGAGCTGTTTTTCGATAATCAATCTAAAATTAGTTTGGACTCTTTCAACTCTCCTTCTTTTTCAGCTGACATCCGCTTGTAAGAAATCACTGGTGCGCATTTTCAAGATCTGCGACATCGATGGGGACAATCTACTAAATGACTACGAGTTAAATCTGTTCCAGCGGCGCTGCTTTAACACCCCCCTGCAACCACAGATTTTGGATGAGGTGAAGGCCGTCATACAAAAAAATGTACCTGATGGCATTTACAACGACGCGGTCACTCTAAAGGGCTTCCTCTTCCTACACTGCCTTTTCATCCAGCGGGGGAGGAACGAGACAACTTGGGCAGTGTTACGGCGATTTGGCTACAACGACCAGTTGGAGATGTGCCAGGAGTATCTAAGGCCCCCTCTGAAAATACCACCTGGTAGCAGCACGGAACTCTCGCATCGGGGCCAGCAGTTTCTAATCGCTGTGTTCGAGCGATATGATCGCGATGGCGACGGAGCTTTGTCACCTGAGGAACACAAGATGCTTTTTAGCACGTGTCCAGCTGCACCGTGGTCCTACTCGACCGATATTCGGAAGTCCTGCCCGATCAACGACACAACTGGATGGGTGACCCTGCACGGATGGCTATGCCGTTGGACACTGATGACACTGATTGATGTAGTAAAAACCATGGAGTATCTGGCCTATTTGGGCTTTAATGTTCATGAAAACGACAGTCAGTTAGCCGCAATACACGTTACACGGGAGCGTCGCATAGATCTGGCCAAGCGCCAAAGCAGCAGGTCCGTGTACAAGTGTCATGTGATTGGGCCTAAGGGATCCGGAAAGACCGGAATGTGTCGTGGATTCCTTGTAGAAGATATGCACAAACTAATCGGGAAGGAGTTCAAAACAAATGTGGTTCACTGCATCAACTCTGTGCAAGTCTATGGCCAGGAAAAACATCTTATATTGCGTGACATCGATGTGAGACATGCTCTTGATCCCCTCCAGCCGCAGGAAGTCAACTGCGATGTAGCCTGCCTGGTCTATGACTCCTCTAATCCCCGCTCTTTCGAGTATGTGGCCCGTATCTACATTAAGTATTATGCGGAGAGCAAGATCCCAGTTATGATAGTGGGAACCAAGTGCGACATGGACGAGCGCCGGCAAGACTACCTTATGCAGCCGGCAGAGTTCTGCGACAAATACAAACTGCTGCCCCCGCACCTCTTCAGTCTGAAAACCAACAAGAAAGAACTTTATACAAAGCTGGCCACCATGGCAGCATTTCCGTGAGTACACCATTTGGGGTCCGTTGTTGGGTGCTTCTTTTGTGATCTAATACAACCGGTGAAATACTTTTTTTGATAAGCCAACCCTTAAAAGTATTTCACTACTTTGAAGTAGTTTTAGATTGCATTTAACATTTGGGGTACATATTGGATTAATGGTTACTTATCTTCTTATCTTCTATTCTTCCTTTTTTGTGTGATGGTTGGTGACTGTTTTTCTGTGTTATTTGATGTTTGTGCACGTCGATGGCTTCACGGATTTGCAGGCGTTTTCAGGCTGCCTGGATACTGTTCTACAAGCACAGGTTGGTACAGCTGTGGGAGTCGGCGTAAGTGTTACCATTCAAACTGAACTCGTTACTAATGTCAGCCTTCTATCTGTTGTTATTTCATCTGCCACGGTGCCCGTACTACTTCCATGAGGTGCACACTTCCCCATCCAAAATCCGCTTGATTAACGTGGTGTGCGGCAGCTTCTTGTAGTCTTTAGTTATACCCTTAAGATACATTTTAAAAATCTTTCCTCTTATTCAGTTTTTCTAATCCTTTTCTTTATCGTCCACATGCAGCCATTTGCGGCAATTCGGCCTAATGACAGAGGATCCAAAGTTGTGGTGGAAGGCGGGACTGGGTGTTGCCGCCGCCACTATGTTGGGATTTATAGTGCTGAAAACAATCAGTGCTGCCGGAGCGCACTCCCGCTAAAAGAATCCACTGGATCAGTGGAAGCAACTTATACAACATGTTTACCACAGACACGTTAATGTTTAACAAATTCATGTAACTTATTGATTATTTCTTTGCTTGCTACTGTAAATCCAAATTTATTGTTACGAAAACTGGAGCAAACAATGAAAAAGCCCACAAGCCGATGTGCTTATTCCTGACATGTAAATACACTCGCCAAGTACACTAGCAGGAATTGGGCCAGAGGCAGTAGTGAGTGGTGTATGGACAGTGAATAGCGGTGGCCAGTCGAGCACATTGTGTGTTTCATTTCTATTCGTATATAACACTTAATTAAACCATGTACTTTCTGATAAGTCAACTAAGTTATTGTTACCATTATAATCGAGTAACCAAATAGCCGATATCGTGCATAGCTGATAGTGATATGTACACGTACTGGGTTCTATATAAATCAATATATACTACACCTAGAAAATTGCCGAATTTGGTGATATCGCACTTTTGTAAATACGCGCAAAGCCCTAGTATGAGCAATAAATCTATCTATATATGTGGATTTACATATAGCGAACTTTAAAGGCATGTATTGTCTTAGTGTTTTTATTTATCATCATTTAATTTAGTTGCATTTTAAAACAGGAAAACAAAAGACTTTCGTTTGTAAAAAGCTTTAATAATAATTTATCTTAATTAAACGAGTCTGTATGAGACTCTTGCTTTGTCGAGGTCTCAAATTTATACTGAAAATGTTATTTTAAGCTTACTTTTGTATTCCATTAATGGCAGCCGCATTGGCTGATGCCGGCGACATGCAGTTACCATCTGGATATCGTTTCTGGAATTGAGTGATGAGCTCTGGATCCACTAGCCTTATGCCATCCAGCTGGTTTCCCAGGGTGATCCAGTTGGGTTGGATGTTATGCGGTCGTCCGAAGAGCTCGATTTTTCGGGTACCCGGGCTTAGACGCTCAATAATGCCGTAGATCTCATCTGGTTTGTGGGAGGTGGCCCGCACCTCCGCAACGATAACGTCACAGTCGAGACCTCGGTTTAGATTCGTGGGATTGCCTTTCATACCCACCAGGCAGTGCTCCTTGCCGTGGTTCAGCCAGTGTCCTGTGCGCCCAGTACGGATTATTCGCTGCAGCTGGTTCGTCTTTACCCAGATAAGCTCATCCACTCGCTCATAACCCCACAGCTTAAGACAGTCGCGGCCAAGTTCCATGGCTCTTCCTGTTACCCATAAAAAGATCAAGCCATCATCCTGAAGTGCTGGCACACCCAAAGCTCTCATTTCATCGTCCGACATCGTTCCATAGGGTAGTTCCATGTGAATATCCCAAGGAGGATCGGCCATTACCACAGCGAACTTGCCCAGCACCGTCATATCCAAGAAGCGCAAGTCGCACTGAATCCACTGTGGTGGATAGAGCGTGCAACTGGAATCAACGCTACGTTTGAGGCTTAATTTGGTTTTCACATCCGTGGGCTTGTTTGTGTTAATATGCGGCAAAGTGTCCACCTCATAGTGTACGTACTTGCAGGTGGCCATGTGGAAGCAGGTGTTTAGAAAGCTGCAATCCCCCAGTGACTCGTCCGTGTGGGCCTGGATAATCTTCTTAAAGTGTAGCTTAGTGCACTTGTCTGTTGTCTCACTGCCGCATGTATCACTGCCATCGGTAGACTCCTGCGACTCTGCTTCGCAATTACTTATACCTTCCGTGATGATCTCTCCATCCTCGGCTGCTGACTCTGTCTTGGCTAGCTTCCCACTGCTACTTTCGCTTGCCTCAGCATCCGTGCGAAGTTCCTTTTCGTCTCTACGTTCTTGTTTCTTTTTGGCCGCCATTTCGGCGGTGGCCTGTTGGGCCTTGAGACACTCTACCTTGGTGCCGTGGGAGCAGAACTCCATAACCTGTGCTCCGCCGTGAGATTTGAACTTCTCTGCCACTGAACGCTCTTTGGCAGTGGGCTTAGTGAGCAATTCAAGGATCTCCTCGCCAACTTGCTTACTCTGCTTCTCTCGTGTCGAGGGCATAGATAAGAGCATCATGATGTCGTCAGGGGCATCCAGGCTGGTGGACTCTTTTCGTGCGGCACTTGTGTCCAGTTTCATTGTCTTTTCCTGAGGCTGATCGCCATCCTCGACTTCCACTGTAATGTAGCAAAAGAAAATAACAAAATCTTACAATACTAATAGTGGTCTCTTCTGAAATACTCACATTTTCTTTTGGCCTCCTCCTCTTTTTGCTGACAGGTGTCATTTGTGTCCTCCAGGATTTCCTTCAGCTCCTTGGGCTGGACTGAAATAATCTCGCAGCCAGCTTCTGTGCCGATGGTCACGTTTCGGATAACAATGGCACCCTGGTTTGCCAGTTTGCCCAGTATAAAATTAACCATTTCTAGACTGCTACCTGGAATTTTCTCTACTACTTGTGTGGAAACAATGGGCAGGGCCAGGGAACAAGAACTGAGTGTCTGCAGTACCTCCTTTTGTACTTCTAGATCAGCTTCAACTGCAAATGGAAGAACTTATCAGTTTTCGGGAGCTCCAACTTGTTGCCATTGCCGGCGCCTACCGAGTTCTTTTTTGGGATTCGTCAGATCCTCCTGGATGTCAGAAAGAATTTCGATGCGTTCCTTCTTCCGCTTCTCTAGCTTCTCACGAAGCGTGTTCCGCTTTGATTTCAGCGATTTTATATCCCAAGCATCTGCCATTGTTTATAAGTCGCTGCCGGCGTATGGTAAACAAAGTAATTTTTTTTACAGATTGACTCGCAGTGTGACCGAGTAGCACCGAGTGCTAAAAATATTCATATTAAAATACTATAATGGTATATCTAAAATTACCTGTTCCGCCCATTTGGTATTATCCAACGCAATCGCTATGGGCACACTGCTCCGCTCCCCATTGCACCAAACGGAAGCTGCGCCGTCGCTGCTCCGCAACATTTTGCCCAATAAAACGTGCCCAAACTTATAAAAAATTGATGAACACCGCTTCAAATGTAAATAATAACCAAATCAAATAATTTAGTGATCGAATCGCGACAAAATCGCGCGCGAGTGCCAAACAGTGAGAGAGCGAGTGCCGCCTTTTGCTCGCTCCCCAAATTTCGTGGCGTTTTCTTTTTTGTTTATGCGCGCAAGAGAGAGCGAGAGAGAGCGTAGCATAAAGTGCGCACACACACACAGTCGCGAGTGGGGATTTGCAAAAATCGAGTGAATGTGTGTGTGCGCATAACATTTGCACACATTGTTATTGTTGGGACGACAGATAGTGAGAGGGAGAGAGGAGTGTCAAACAGAGAGACAGAGAGAGCTGAACTGGGGCCAGATTTATAAAGCGACATTCGCACTTTTACTCTGGAGCATGACGGTTCTTTCGCGGCACTTTCGACGCGATTCAAAGCTGCAGCCAAAGCAGCAGCAGCTTCCGAGTCCGTTCCGAATCCAAATCCGAGTCCCTAGCAGCCGAAGAGGAGCTATCTAATCCGCAACAGATTCGCAACGCGTATATATATATTGATTTCGTGCAAGTGCAGTTGCAGCGCGCCCCATCACAAAAAAAGAAGAAAAGAAAAACACACACCCCCTTTACCAACCACCTCTCGTTTTTCACTGTGTATACTACAGCTTTTTGCTTCTTTTTAAAGGCGGCGGCACGCCCTTCCCCAACGTGCGTGCGTGTGTACGTGTGTGTATATATATTCGTATATGTATTGGCGGGCTAACCCGAAAAAGTAAAGAAAATCATCAACAAAAAAAAAGAAACTTTCAAAATATTGAATTGTGAAAACTATCAGAAAATTATGTGCCTGCTCGAGATATATTACTCAGTTTGCATGAAAATAATATGCAACAATAGTACATAAACAGTTGTTCAGAAAACACCTCGCGAACACACGAAAAAACCCTATTCGAGAATCAGCAAAGAAACAACATGAAGATGGTCGATAAATCGTCCAAGTTGGTGGATAAATTTGCCGTTATCAGCGGCACCGGCGGCAGTAACACCGGAGGCGGACCGCTCAATATGCAAGTTGGCGGCGGAGGCGGTGGCTCTGGCATTGGAAGTGGAGGCATATCGGGATCTGGCGGAATCTCCGGCACGGCTGGATTGTCTGGAATGTCTGGTGGAGGAGGAGGAGCCAATGGCCAAAAACCGGTGCCAATGAAGCTATTCGCCGCCTGGGAAGTAGACCGAACACCGCCCAACTGCATCCCAAGGTGAGTGTAAACAAATTTAACACATTTTGTATGTATGTATTTATATAAAAAATGCGACGAAGGGACAGTAAAAGCAAAGCAGCGCGTTGCCAATTTTTGTTTTACTTTATTTTGCTTTTGCTATTTATAATGCAAAAAAAAAAAAAAAATAACAAAAAGGGCAAAAACGGAATAACAAGAGTGGTAACTGTTATTTAACTAGTCGACGGCATAGGTAACATTTTCAACATATATGTACACATACGTAAGCCTTCAAACTAAATACCAGCTGCTGAGTTCAAGCGAAAACAATTTGTTCGTGTAAAACAAATTGAAAGTGCTTTTAAAGTTCAATAAACAGCCTTGACAAAGTATTTAGACTAAATTGCTAATAAAACTTATAAAATTGATAAGAGATATATTTAAATAACTGGCTAAAAGTGTTTTAGTTTTTAAAGGTCATACAATTTTGATACCTTTAAAAAGATAATACAAATCAGCAGCTTGTTTACAGCTTATTTGTTGATTTTCTGCCAATTTGCTTTCGTGCTTGGGTTTCCGTTCGATTGGGTTTTGTTTTGTTTTTGTTCCTATTTTTAGTCAACAAAAGCAACAACTGCGCTAACTGTTATTTAACAGGCCTTTTGTTTTAGCGCCCCTTGCAAAAGCTGACTTTTATTTATTCGTTTTTGGCCCCAAGAAATCGAAAAACTTGTAAAGTGTAGAAAAGGAAAACATTGACATTTTTGAGTGCAAGAATTAATCGATTTTATAGTTTTATGAACTTGAGAAGTGCTAAGTCAACATTACTCAAGAAAAAATAATAAAAAATAATCACGAATCCATGGATTATTTAGATTAAAAAGGTTACGAACTTGAACCTTATGGAATATTTATTCGAAAACAATGTTTTAAATTTGGCCATGAAATCCAACCGCAATTAAATCCCAACCTAACCCAACATTATGTTGGCGATAAGGCTTTCCGTTTGAAATAAATTTGGGGCACCATCAAAATTATCAAAGAATTGTTATTTGTGAGGGGATTTTAGTTTGGTGTGCAACTTGTTATTAGATTTGTGCTAGTTTGGAGGGTGTTTTAAAGTTTTACTTGACACCAAAAGTTCTTAGATCTTGCCCAAAGCAGTAAAAATATGATAGCCCTCACCAATATTCCCTCATAAATTATAGAAATATTATTTTCACAATCTATGAAGAAAACCTATTATTTTTCATTGATGATCTCGCAAAATAAAACCCGTTTGCTTAGTGGGTTTGTTTTGGCTGTCTTTCTTTCATTCCACACGTCTTGATGCCGCATGCCTTTGTCCCAGTAACCCCGAGCCCAAAATGAGTAATGCCGCATCACTGGCTGCTATTCTTTGAGGTTCTTCTGTTTTGGCTGATAAGAGTTAGCGGATTATTTGCATACGGATGAGTCAGCCGTTGTCCAATTTGGCTCAGATGATGTTGACTCCGGACAAAGATTAATCTATAATTGGGACGGATACCCCACTGCGTCGCAGAAATTAGAAATTAGAGGCAAGGCAAAGGCGCACTTCTTGGCCGAGTTTAATCGCTTTTGTGTATTTTAAGAGCTCTCGAGGCGATAAACTGGTCAAGTAGAAGGGCAGAAGGCATTAAAATATAAACAGCCTTGGACACGCCCACGATCAAATAAAAATTAAAAAATAAAATTTCGGGAAAATATTTACGAATTAATAAGTGATCACTAGTGATAAAAATAAATTTGTTATTAGCTTTCAAAGGCGTGTTAATAATGATTGATTTTTATCAAATAAAAAACCAAATTGATTTTCAATATTTTTTCGCTGTGCAGAAGGACTGCCTGAGAAAGCATTTACTAAATATTTGATGGCCAAGGCCAAATGTGCTCCTCTCGCCTTCTTTTTGGCTCCTCACACTTTTTTTTTGGGTGGCTGCTTCTTTTTGGTTTGTTGAAAGGTCATAAACCGCTGATGCCGCCGCCTCTGTTTTATCTTTGGGATACATTTTGAGTTTGGGCTTGAGTTTGAGTTTTGTGTCTTTGTTTTGGTTTTTTGTTTGTTTATAATTATGCGCTCGCTTGGCTGGCTTATAATTAGAAACTGAAGCTAAGCAAGCGAATTGGGAATTTTTCAGTCATCAACTTTGAACTCTTCGACCGAGAAGGAGGCGGCGAAACTTTCACCATAACAGAAAGCCTAAAAGCTAGTACATACTTATTTTTCCCCTTGGCTAATTAAAAATGTCATTTTGGCTAATTGCAGCTGAAAGTAAATTTAATTTATAGTTATGCCCGTGCACCATGTGTGTCGTCACATTTCCTATTTCCTTGTTTCCTCTCTCTCTTTGTCTACCTCACTGGGCAAATAGTATCTTTATGTTGATTTTATCTGCCCCTGAATGTGGCACGTAGAGCATATCCAGACTTTGATTAAGGCTCACGCGGCATTAGCGCAAGTTTTCCTTGCGGTCGCCAGCCGTACGTGACCCGTCTGCTTCGGCTGATTCATCCGACTCCGCTTGACCCGTCAGACCAATCAAATTCAAATCAAATCAGAGAGAAAAGGAATAAAAAGGGGGCAGGCACTCAGCCACACGCTCTACTCTGTGGCAATGTCAGGGTCTGAAATGCATTCAAGTTCGAGGCGTAGCAAATTATCCTTGGCAAAGTTTGCTCTGTGTATCTCGTTTTAATTTGCCTGATTTGTCTGAGGGTTGCGGAAAAGTTGCCTGCCTGCCAAGACTGCCAAGAATTGCCTTGCTGTTAATTTGGTTTCATGGAAGATACGAGTAAATGAAACTTTTTCCATTCTGATTAACAATTCGGCAGAGGGATGGAGGTGAATCACATTATCCTTATCTACTGTTCTACGCAGCAATTCATTTAATATTCCTATAAAACTAAGAGGGGGTTTTGCTAAAGCATGAAGCATTCTTAAAGACATTCTGTGTTGGAACTAAAGAAGGAAATAGGGATTAAATTCATTTTATTGCAGTTATTTTGTTTAAATGTTTATGAGATTTTGATTATAGTAATTGTATTGTCTCAAAAATGAAGAGAAAAAAGTGATTACATTTAAAACTTAAACTTCCTTAGCTGAATATTAAGTTATTTACATTTTTATCAGATATTCCTTTCCACATTACCCCATTTTTTAATCTTTATTTCATTATTTGAGGTTTCTTATCAGAGGTTTTCAGCAGAAGGACACTTTCCCTACATTTTTAATCTATTTTTCCACTTCCTTATCTATCGGCAAAGGAAGCAAATCATAAATTGAAATGACACTAATCCTTCCCTTGCCACATCGCTTATCTTAAAAATAAATTTTGTGGCTTGTTCAGTTGTTAGTTTCAGTGGTTACCTGAAAATTGAAATGCATTTGCAGCCATTAAGAAATAATTTATTGGACTGACGGCCGTCGGCGGTACGTAATAAAAATGCACTTGGGATAGGTTCGGTTAAAATGTTGTTTGTGTTATTTTTGTTATTTGCGGTTCGTTTCGATTTATTTTTACAACAGGAAACATTCATGTTTTTCATGTTCCCAAGTGGAAGTGGAACACGTCGAGTGATGGATTGATGGATTCGATGATATGGCTCCATTATGCGACTCTTTCCGTTCCTATTTGTACTGTTTTTTGCTCAGGTTGGTTGAATGTATTTTAAGTGTTGAGAGCGCCTCTTTGTTTATAAATAAATTGTGAAATACTTTGCGGTCTTTCGATTTCTGATAAACATTCAGCAATGTTTTCCTCATCGTTGGTCGTGTAATTTATAAACTGCGCCAATGTTTTTACCAGAAATTAATTTAAAGCCAACGAAAATAGCCAAATGAAATGTCTGTGACATATTTCCCAGATCCAATTTGTATCTGTGCTGCCTGCCGATCGTGCCAGCTGCTGCTAACGTGGAGGAGGAGGGGGATTTGTATCTGTATCTATAAGTAGAATTTATAGCGCGACAAGCGACAGCAGTTGTTGTTTTTTTCACTGTAGCGCGTGTTGCCCACGAAATGTTAGCCTTGAACTTTTTTTCTGCTCATCTGCTCTGCCGTTCTTTTATTTTGCACGAACCCAAAACAATATCTAGAGCATCATCCCAGCATCACATGTATCTCTTTGCTTGTATCTGTATCTTTTGGCGATGATGTACCTGCATCTCTGCATGTACGAGTACATTAGTGTCCGTGTTTGACAAATTGAATTCCTTTTCGTTGGCTTTTTCACTGCATTCAATGGCAATAATTTCTGCCTTTATTGTTTATGCCGAAATGTTATGTCAACTGAATTTTCAGCTCTTTGTTTAAATGGAATTCGAATGCTTAGCTCATTGGATACCCTTTAGTTCTATAAACAAATATTTTAGGTGTAATTGAAGGGGATTCGTTTGCTATGATTCCTAAGAAACTATTTGACCAGAAATGTCTGGAAAAGTGTGTAATTTCAAGAAATTAATACTGATCATTGATATCTTTATCCTTACCCAAAGATACAGTTTTAAAATGTTTATTAATCTTGAAATATTCTTAGTTATGTTTATCTTTTATTGACCAACTGAATCCCCCATCGCATATACCCCACTTACCCAAGTCTCTTTCAAGGGTATACCAATTTATGCTGATAGCTTTTCAAATTGATTCTGGGTGCAATTTTAATGGGATTTACTTTATTCCGCTGGCATTGCTACTCCTGCTGTAGATGCTGCCAGTGCTTTTCCGCTGTCCCAACGTGCCATCTGTGCATCATCGAGATTACCGGCTACGAGTCAGCCAGCTGTGCTTTTGGCCATGACCGATGATTCAGTTATTCAGGTGTGTGAGGCATTTGGCGGGTGTGGGAGTTTTTAGAGCTTTGTAGGCGGTGGAAAAACCTTAGCAATCAGTTGGCTACGAAACAAACTGTAATACAAGAAAAATAGATAAGAAATGAGAAGGGGGTGGGGAGAAAAGAAAGTGGTCAAGCACTCGAGTTTCTTAACTGTTTGGCTGCGGCGGCTAGACCGAAAATGAGCCC